CCCCATTCATTTGAAGGGAGGTTATTTTTTCCAACCTCAATTGGGCCCAGCCTTCTCTTCAGAGCAAGCAGTTCACAGGTCCCTCACCTCACATTTCTTCCAGCTTGAGATATTCTATCTCTTTGGGGATGTGGGCTTTCTAGTAAGCTTTCATTCCCATAGGTCATGCTCATATGTGTTTAATTAGGTGGACATTCCTAGATCAGTGGAACTTTTCTTGGGATCCCTGGCTTGAGACCAGTCCATGGTAGGGGTGCTGCTTATTGTATCATGGAAAATCATAAACAATCAATCAAATAAGGGTACCAAGCTGAGTGCTTACATCCACAATGTCTGATGGATCAGGAAAGAAATGATGCAACACATGGAGTCAGTCCCTGGGTTGAGGCAATGGACCCAACAATAGTCATGAGTAAAGACAGAATATGGTGATGTCTGGATGAACAGTGTTCAACCAAGGTTGATGGAGCACAGACCAAGACGGAGGTAAGTGTAGGGGAAGTTGTACAAGTAAAGGTCAGAGCAGCGACAATGATCATTGTGCCTGTCAAGATGGGGCCACCTGTAGGATGAGACAGAGTGATTTGGAATAAGGATAGAATTTTGGAGAAGAATCAAATACTAGGGTGAACATAGATGTGAAGACCCCTCCAATCTTGATTGAATGTGACTACCCCTAGAGTTAGCAGGTGAGGAAGGAAGACCAAAGGGAAGGAATGCTGGTGTTCCAGTGGGTGGCAAAGGCATCTATGAGATGTCCCCAGCTGAGAACACACCTACCTAAAGATCTGTGGATCGATGGATCACTCAGTGAGGAGAATCTTGTTGGGAGGAGATAACTGATCCACCACCAGATTCAGGGAGCCAGGAAAAAGGCAAGCTAAGACCACAATTTGGTGACTGTGGGTCCAGAAACAAGCTCCAGGATCTGAAAGCACAGAGAACTGAAATTGGTACCCTCTAGCCCTGTGATATAAGTGACCACTGTGAAGATGTCGGAATGTACCATAACCACCACCACTCCCCCTCAGGAGAGGAAGGAAGCGAGACAAAACTTGAACTGCCAAAGGCCTGAGAATGGTGATATGGAGATAAGACTCCTTGATCAATCAGTAACTGGAAATTTCCCATGAGTTGAAGTAAGAGCCCCAACTCTCTAAAGATGAGTGCATCAACATGTGTAAATCTGGAAGAGGTGGAGTAAGCAGCACTCCTGCCATGGTCTGGTCTTTGTCTAACCACCAAGCCAGGGATCCCAAGAGAAGTTCCATTGATCTAGCAATGTAATAAAGAAAAAAAAAATTAAGTCTTTCTCTGATGAAAATTAGGGTGATAAGGCACATAGTTACAATTATGAAAAACTTACTCAAAGAGAACAATGAATTAGATGTTACTAGTAGTAATGACATGTAACTTACAAACAATCTAAACATATCTAGTTAAAGCACTGGAGTTGTTACCAGTTCCCAATTGCAGGGGTGGTGGACCATGGAGGCTTCCTTCTGAGTGTGTTTTGAATTTGCTTTACCATACCTACTCATGGTTATACACTCAGTGAGAAGAGGGCAAAGCTGGTTTCCCTCCTCCTATTTCCCCTGGATGCTTTCCCCAGGTAAACAGATGTCCGTTGGAGCAAGTCCAGCCTATGTGGGATCCTCCTCATAATACTGGTTTCAGGATGACACCACCCTATGCTTATAGTTGTGTGGAGTAGAGGCTTCTCTTCTCATTATTTCTGGTTGCAGGAGGTTCTTTCCCTGCTCCTATTCTTGAGTTGGAGATACCTTGTCTCATAATACAGGCAACAGGACATATGTACACTGTTCCTACGATTGAGTGAATGTTCAATGTCCTCTTCATGATTCCATATGCAGGATGTCTCTTTCCAACATTTACATTTGAGAGGGTTATAATTTTTGCTCATAATACTGGTTACAGATTTTACCCTGTTCTTATGGTTGAGTTGAAGCAATGCTCTGGCCCCATGCTGGGTTCAGTTTGTTGTACTGCTTGCTTCTACCGTTATTTTGGGAATTTGATTTCAGCCAAAAGCTCGCTTTCCGGTTGCTTGATGTGTGATACTTTGTTTACTTTCAGTTGGGATTGATGGATGTATATAACATGGTCCACCTTCCAGTGTCACTATGTTGATGTGACATTTTATCTTCAACCTTCTAATGCCAAGAATGGGTTATGGAACCTTGAGGTTGGGAATGTACAAATCCACTTCTGTTTATATTTTACTATGGATTGCACCTCTCAAAACAAATTACACTTGTGCACATCCTTTTTTTTCTCCACCTGTTTCAGATTAATTTCCTGCTTCTAGGGCAAAGAGCATACCTGTTCCAGAAGTTGTGCAGTTCCCCATGTGTGCTTTGTTTCATCTCAGAGCAGACCTGTTCATTCTGGGCAGTTGCTTTCTGCTTGTTTTAACTTTTGTGTACACACATTGGCACCTCTGCAATGTGGGATTCTAGTTTTGTGTGAGAGGAGGTAATACTGTATCGGAAGTTAACATTTTTTTTACACTGGAAATGTATTTCTGATACGTACTTACCTCCTCTCACACATACATTTTCAGCATAAGAAAAATGTTAACTTCTGATACAGTATTACCTCTCACACAATTCCCACTCTTCCTCCCAACTCCCTATGTTTTTCTTTAGGATCCTGCAAATTCTCAAAAGTGAGGATTGAGCCAGGATAGCAAAGGGAGCTAGCTGTGCTAATACTGATGGCATAAGAGTATTGGTGGAGAGTTATATACATGTTCAGAAATGACATGAAATTTATGGAGTATATAGATTGGTGTGCTGATTGCAAAAATATTTTCGACAATGCTTAGATGACAAGAAGATCAAGATAGTCTTGTGTGAGAGTGGTAAGTACCTTTCAGAAATTCATTTTCAGTGTAAGAAAATGTTAGATCATTTATCACTGATGTAGTTAATAGAAGCATGCTATATCACTAGGGACTGATGTGTGTGTAGTTAGTAGGAAGCATGCTACATCACTAGGCACTGACATATGTAGTTAATAGGAATCCATGCTACATCATTAGGTGCTAATATATGTGTACTTAATAGGAAGCATACGATATCACTAGGCACTGATATGTGTAGTTAATAGGAAGCATACTATATCACTAGGCACTGATATGTGTAGTTAATAGGAAGCATACTATATCACTAGGCACTGATGTGTGTAGTTTATAGGAAGCCATGTCACATCACTAAGCATTGCTGTGTAGTTTATAGGAAGCCATGCTGCAGGAATAGGTACTGATAGGTGTGTAGGTAATGCGAAGCATACTACATGACTAGGCACTGATGTGTAGTTTATAGGAAGTCGTGTTACATCACTAAGCATTGATGTGTAGTTTATAGGAAGCCATGCTACATAACTAAGCACTGATGTGTAGATTATAGGAAGCCATGCTACATAACTAAGCACTGATGTGTAGATTATAGGAAGCCATGCTACATCACTAAGCACTGATGTGTGTGTAGTTTATAGGAAACCATGCTACATAATTAAGCATTGATGTGTAGTTTATAGGAAGCCATGCTACATCACTAAAGCATTGATGTGTAGTTTATAGGAAGCCATGCTACATCACTAAGCATTGATATGTGTGTAGTTTATAGGAAGCCATGCTACATCACTAAGCACTATGTGTTTAGTTTATAGGAAGGATGCTACATCACTAAGCACTGATGTGTGTGTAGTTTATAAGAAACCATGCTACATCACTAAGCACCGATATGTAGTTTATAGGAAGCCATGCTACATCACTAAGCACTGATGTGTAGTTTATAGGAAGCCATGCTACATCACTAAGCACTGATGTGTAGTTTATAGGAAGCCATGCTACATAACTAAGCGCTGATGTGTAGTTTATAGGAAGCCATGCTACATCACTAAACACTGATGTTGAGTTTATAGGAAGCCATGCTACATCACTAAGCACTATGTTTTTAGTTTATAGGAAGGATGCTACATCACAAAACACTGATGTGTGTAGTTTATAGGAAGGATGCTACATCCTAAGAACTGATCTGTAGTTGATTGGAGGGATGCTACATCACTAAGAACTGATAAGTGTGTAGTTTATAGGAAACATGCTACATTGCTAAAACTGTTGTGTAGTTGTTAGGAAGGATTCTACATCACTAAGAACTGATGTGTAGTTGATTGGAAGGATGCAACATTGCTAAGAACTGATGTGTAGTTGGTAGGAATAATGTTACATGAGCAAGCACTGATATGTGTATAGTTTATAGCAAGGATGCTACATCACAAAGCGCTGACATGTATAGGAAGGATGTTACATCACTAAGCACTGAAATGTGTATATGAAAGATGCTACATCACTAAGCACTAGTATGTGTTTAGTTTATAGGAAGGATGCTACATCACTAAGCACTGATGTGTGTGTAGTTTATAGGAAACCATGCTACATCACTAAGCACTGATATGTAGTTTATAGGAAGCCATGCTACATAACTAAGCACTGATGTGTAGTTTATAGGAAGCCATGCTACATAACTAAGCACCGATGTGTAGTTTATAGGAAGCCATGCTACATTACTAAGCACTGATTTTTGTGTAGTTTATAGGAAGGATGCTAAATCACTAAGCACTGGTATGTGTGTAGTTTATAGGAAGGATGCTACATCACTAAACACTGGTATGTGTGTAGTTTATAGGAAGGATGCTACATTACTAAGCATTGATATGTAGTTGATTTGAAGGATGCTACATCACTAGGCACTGATATGTGTGTGGCTCATAGGGAGGATGCTACACCACTAAGCACTGACATGTGTGTAGTTGATAGGAAGGATGCTACATCAATAAGCACTGATATGTGTATTTGATAGGAAGGATGCCACATCACTAAGTACTGATATGTTTGTAGTTTATAGGAAGGATGCTATATCACGCAGCACTGATATGTAGTTGATTTGAAGGATGCTACATCACTAGGCACTGATATGTGTGTGGCTTATAGGGAGGATGCTACACCACTAAGCACTGATATGTGTGTGGCTTATAGGGAGGATGCTACACCACTAAGCACTGATATGTGTGTAGTTTATAGGAAGGATGCTATATCACGCAGCACTGATATGTGTGTAGTTTACAGGAAGGATGCTACATCACTAAGCACTGGTATGTGTGTAGTTTATAGGAAGGATGCTACTTCACTGAAGGCAGATATATGTGTAGCTTATAAGAAGGATGCTACATCACTAAGCACTGATATGTGTGTAGTTTAGAGGAAGGATGCTACATCACTAAGTACTGATATGTGTGTGCCTTATAAGAAGGATGCTACATCACTATGCTCTGATATGTTTGTAGTTTATAGGAAGGATGCTATATCACGCAGCACTGATATGTGTGTAGTTTATTGGAAGGATGCTACATCAACAAGCACTGATATGTGTGTAGTTTATTGGAAGGATGCTACATCAACAAGCACTGATATGTGTGTAGTTTATTGGAAGGATGCTATATCACGCAGCACTGATATGTGTGTAGTTTACAGGAAGGATGCTACATCAACAAGCACTGATATGTGTGTAGTTTATTGGAAGGATGCTATGTAACTAAGCACTGATATATGTTTAGTTTATAGGAAGGATATTACATCACTAAGCACTGGTATGTGTGTGTAGTTTATAGGAAGCCCTGCTACATTACTAAGCATTGATGTGTAGTTGATTTGAAGGATGCTACATCACTAAGCACTGATATGTGTGTGTGGCGTATAGGGAGGATGCTACACCACTAAACACTATGGTGTATGTGTAGTTTGTAGGAACCCATGCTACATCATTAAGCAGCTGTAATTGTATTTAAGATGTCAAGTACTGATGAAAAATGATGTTTCATATATTTTGTTAAAACATTTTAATCTAGAAATGATAAATTTCAAGTATTTATTTATAAAAAGAAAAGTTAACATTCAAAAAATTATTTTAAGTAATGATTTTTTAAATGTTTCTTCTTGAATGGAAATGCGTGATTTATGATACTTCTTGAAAATTGGGAAATATAGTTTTAAATATGAATACGTTACTGACTTCATTTTTGAAAATTAAAGCAAAGTTTGTGAGGTTAAATTTATTTACCAGCTGTTATTTGGTTCTAAGAGGTAGCAAGAGTCTGATATTGTTAAAGATTTTCATAACAATGTTTGTGAGGTTATTTGGTTCTAACATGCAGCAGAGTCTGGTATTATTAAAGACTCTTATAACAATGTTTGTGAGGTTATTTGGTTCTAACATGCAGCAGAGTCTGGTATTATTAAAGACTCTTATAACAATG